AAGCAAAGACCTGCACCATTTGGGTTGGTGGAACTGGATAGGAACAAAAACACCCCACGAAGAATGCATTTTCACCCACGCTTTTTTCCCGTACCCACTTTTTCTTCTCCCAATCCATTCTGTAAACAAAAAGAAAGCTACCATAGGGAAAACTGGACGCAACTGTTAACAAATCACCCTCCGTCTCCACCAAGTAATAGCAGGTATAGGGGACGGAGGACGGACCCCAACTCGACGGGACGCACATTCAATCACATTGCTTTCTGGCGAATAACCCAGATGAGTCCCTTTGAATCCATGGTGTAAAAGTCATCCTTGTAGAATATTGCGTCAGAACACCGGCTGTCGAAGTTGTGAATTCCTCTGTTCCATGCATGATCCCCTGTTTTGCACAGGGAAAACCTGTGTCCGGATTTATAAGGATGGTTGGCTAGGAAAGTGCAGTAAGGATCGACCGGACCGTGCTGAATTCTGGATTTCTTGATGATTCAGGAGTCCTGAATTGTTTATCCCATGGCAGCTTGACTCTGATTCTGGTGAAAGGATTGAGAAGATAAATTGCAGAGAGAAGGAATGGCTGATGTCGATGCTGGAGAACAGGAAAAGGAACAAAAATGGCAGAGATGGATGGGGGTTGAAGATAAGGGAAAGGTCAAATCATCATTTTTTTTCCACGTAGTTTTTTTGAAATAAAAGGATTAATTCGTGGTAAGTTAACGTGCCACTTGGGCACTTCCGTGACGGAAGGACCATTTGGGTTCCAAATAAATAAAGTTAAAGGACAACTTGAGTGCTTTCATTTGTTAAAGGACGAACAAAGTTTTCAAATGAAAGTTTAAGGACCAAATTGGGTATTAAACCTTTTTTTTTTTTTTGGGTTGAAGATGGCCAGGGCACGGTGGTTTTGTTCAAGAAGATATAAGAGTCATATGCTACTATTTTATTAATTACAGCCTGTATCTCAAAATTTATAATTTTTATTTGAATGAGATTATTATCCACCACTTTAATCATTAGCATTTATGCCTACTACTATTATGTGTA